ATACACAATTGTTAACGATAGGCCCAATGTTGTGAGGCAGAGCTTTTGAACATTATCTTGCAGAACTGAAACTCCATAGCCGTTGATTAATAATTCCCAACTTCCCCTCCCATGAGCCCGTGGCTACCATCGCTCTTGTCTCTGCTTCTAGGAGTTCGGCTATTGTAGATTCCTTATATAAGTGGCATTGTGCAGTGTTTGGCTTTCCGGCACTGCCTTATTTCACTTAACATAACATGCTCACGGTTCAGCCCATGTTGCCACATATGGCAGGATTTTCTTCTGTTTTAAGGCTGAATAATAGTCCATTGTACACATAGACCATGTGGTATGTGTGGTATGCAGTGAGCATGGGAGGGCTAATATCGCTTCGAGATCCTGATTTTGGTTGTTTTGTCTAAAACATCTCATCTGGGTTATCTATTCCAAGGGGATTTCACATTCAGAAGCAAACATGTTTGTTCGGTTATTTTTTCCCAACCAGAGGATCAGAAGTCTCTCTGAAATGAATTTTCTATCAAGCTCCAATAGCAGAGAGCTTTAAAACATAGCAACTTCTCCCCCTTCCCCTTCCCTTAATCATACAGAGTACCCAGTGCAGGTGAGATAACGAGGGTGGATCTGGTCACTAACCATTTTTAGTGCTGAAATCCTTTGAGGGTTTCTTTTTGCACCTTTTCTCCCAGGTGTCTCCCCAAGCCCTGGGGAATAATTTCTTGCTTCACCTCTTTGTCTTTCATTGAGCATTGGAAGAATTCATCCAAGCATAAGGAGAGGGGGGATAAAGGCTTCTGGGGAGAAGGGGGAGAAATCAGTCCCCTGTCAAAATAGTCTGGGTCCACATCTGCCCCTTTCACTCAGCCTTTGCTTAAAGCAGGGCCGGTTGGGTAGGATGGGCGGGGCTCAACTCGCCACGGCATCTGTCACTCCCAGCAGAGCCAGGGCTGCCTTCTGAGCTGAGCAGGAAAATGACTAAGTGATGACAGAGAAATGGCTGCCAATTCCAAGTAGAATCACCACCTCTGAGCACGCACAGCATTGTCTCTTCAGATGGCACTTTCGCAACCAGCTTGCTGTCCCTGCAGAGGATTAGGATCTGAAGATTTGATTTCTGTCCAAATACCCAGGCAGCCACTGAGTCCTAGAGTTGCAGAGTTTTATTCTGGGAAAGAAATTTGACCAGGAAAGGCCAAGTTGAAAGCTGTGAGACTGGTCTCAGAAGGACAGGAAATTCTCGAAGTTTTCAAGAATCCCAAGGTTTCTGGATGAGTGCTGAGGAAAGGACACTGGGCTTCCCGCAGAAGACTTAAGTATTAGTCTCTGCTCTAACCCCTTGTGTGATCTTGGGCAAACTATTTTACTTTTCTGGACTTTAGTTTTCTCATCTATAAAGGGAGGACATTGAACAGGATCAATACTTTTCAAATTGCGTCCTGAGGATCCTATAGTCAGTAAGTTGGAGGAAATGCTGGGATAAATCACTTAGGATGTCTTAGTAATGACCTTCTCATTTTTTAAAAAACTTTTAACATGTGAATATGCACCACAACTTCCCAGGACAAGGATAGCATGCACGTTTTCATAAGCCATCAAAAACCCTTTAATGGAGAAGGTGGCAGACAAGCCACTTAATGGGTTTATTGGTACGAATGATACTTGTTCTGGACATTTAGTTACAGAGCTCAGGAAGGTGGGGAGAAGCTAGAATGAGAAGCACAAGTCCCAGCAACACAGAGAGTGAGACCATGAGAATAAAAGCCCGTGGAAATGGGATGCCAATTAGGAGAGAGGCGTAAAAGTCTATTTGACTCATCTTCACTTATAGGAAGGGTTTTAATGAGGAGTTGGAGGTCATGGAGAACCGAGTGAAGGAAGAGCAACTTCAAACTTAAACAGTAAGAAAAAAAAAATCTTACATGTTTGCTCATGGCTTTACCAGTTCTGGTGATCCTTGTACCTTCGTGTAGCTCCAGATTTCTGTCCAATGTCAATTTCCTTCCACATGGAGGACTTTCTCTCACTTCCTGTAGCGCAAGTCTGCTGCACATCAACTCTTACAGTCTTCATATGACTGAAACGTCTTTATGTCGCCCTTGTTTTGAAACGTTTTTACTGAGTAAAGAGTTCTAGGTTGACAGGCTTTCTCTCAGTACAGTTCTTTGAAGACATTGCTCCACTGTCTTCCTGCTCTCAACATTTTCAAGAAGAAATCTGCTATAATTCTTTTATTATTATTATTATTTAAGTCTTTAGAAATCCTGCTGTAATTCTTCTGTTCCTCTGTGTATAACCTGCCATTCTCTTGATGTTTTAGCTTTACCCTTTATCATTGTTTTTAAGCAATTTCATTGTGATATGTCTTGGTGTCGTTTTCTTCGTCTGTGTGTGTGTGTGTGTGTGTGTGTGTGTGTGTGTGCGCGCGTGTGTGTGCTGGGATTTCATTGAGCTCTTTTCATCCATGAGATTGTAGTTTTCACTGAAAACTTGGAAAATTTTAAGCCATTATTTCTTCATTTGAAAGAGTACATTTTCTGTCCACACCCCTCTCACTAATGTCTCTTCGGGCGACTCCAACTACCTACATTTTAGGCTGCTTGTAATTATCCTGCAGCTCACTGATGCCTTTTTCACTTGGTGGACAGGAGGGAGGAGGGATTCTTTTTATATCCTGTGTGTCCTTTTGGATAGTTTCTATTGCTGTGTCTTGAAGTTCACTAATCTTTTCCTCTGAAATATCCAATCTGCTGTGGTGCCCTGGAGTGTATTTCACCTGTTACACAGTATAGTTTTCATCCCCTGAAGTTCCATTTGGGCCTTTAAAAAATATTCTCTATGTCTCTACATAACTTTTGAACATATTGGAATTGTTATAATAAATGCTTATTAAAGCATTATTTATGTCCTTCTCTGCTTGTTCTACTGTTAGCTCTGGGTCAGTTTCTATTGATTGACCAATCTTCTCGTATTTTCTTGCTTCTTTACATATCTAATGATCTTTGATTAGATTCCAAACATTGTGAATTTTATCCTGTTTAGTGCTGATTATTTTTTATATCCCTATGAATATCCTTGAACTTCGTTCTGGAATACAATTAAATTATTTTAAAATAGATCTTTTTGGTTCTTCTTTTTGTGATTTTTTCGGTGGGCTCAGAGCTATGCTCCGTCTACGACTATTTATTTCCTACTACTGAGGCATGGCTTCCCGGGAAAGTTTCCCCAATGTGCCATGAATTATATGTTTTCCCCTCTGCCTGGTAGAAACAGGCACTATGTATAGTCTTGTGTGAGCACTGGCACTGTTCTTCAACCCTTCTAGATGGTTTTCCCCCAGCTTCGTGTACTTTCCTTAAATGTATGTGCTCCTCATACTGTGCAAGATGCCCAAGAAGGACCCTCTACAGACCACTCTCTGTGAAGTTTTCTCCTTTTTTGGTACCCTGTCTTGCCAGTTCCCACTCCCTTCTTTTCTCCAGACTCTCAATACATGGAGTCCATCAGGCCCTGTCTGGCTTCCCCCTTCTTATGCTGCAGATTGTAAATTCTCTCAAGGTCATTGGTGGCAATTATAGGGATCACCCTGTTCGTTAGCCATCTCAGGGATCACTGTCCTTCACCGCAGAATATCCAATGACTAATCTCTGTTTCATATATTTTGTCTGTTTCCTATTGTTGTTGTCACTTCAGTAGGGAGATGAATCTAACTCTTGTTACTCTATCTCAGATGGAAGCAGAAGTCTTTAACTTAAAATTATAGCAGAAGGTTTAATTTGAACACAAGGAATGATGTTTTTACTTTATTAGAAAAACAAAAATGTCATTGAAAAAAAGAGACCCAGGAATATGTTGGAGTCCTCTTGCTTGGAGCCTTAATAAAGGGAACAGGCTGAGAGTGTGACCTGGCTGGGACATCTATTGTCCCATTCATGCGAGGGTTGATTTGGCTGTTCTGGCTGGCTAGACAGGTATCCCCTTCCTTCCTAACTGCTGCATGTGCATACCTCCCAGAGCTGTATGCTTGATCAAAGAGAACGACCACACCGTTAGAGGAAAACCATTCTTCAGTCAAGGATATATGAGTAGCCAGGCTCCCCTGTTAGAACCTTAAATCAAGCCCTCAATGTCCATTTGCAGAAGAATATAGTACAGGTAAGCTTCCAGAACTCCAGAAACATTCAAATGAGGCACTGAATGTGACAGTCTACCTTTCTTATAAAATAAAATAATTAAATTAAATTAAATTAAATTAAATAATGTTTGTCATGGTAGTTATTAAGAATTCTTTCTGATGTCTGTGACAGAAAGTAAATTGAAATCTTCAGCAAAAAGGGTTATTAATTAGTTTAGCATTTTTGCTGGAAAGTCCAAGGAGTTGTGTCAGGCACATCTGTTACTCAAGGTTTGAATAATCACTCTAGACCCAGGTCTTCCCTTGACATGAGGGCTAAGACAAAGAGAATAATGCTCTCACAAGCATAAGTAATCTGAATGGGCTCTTGAGTCATGTGAACACTACCAGATTAATTACTGCTTCCAGGGAAATGATCTACATTACTCTGATTATTTAGCATGGATCTTGTTTTTCAGCTCTCCACACTCCCTTCCGTCCACCATCCCCATGACTGACAGTTTTGTTAGAATCACACTAGAGGAGGAGGGACACTGTTTAGTCAAAACTGTACCTGTGAAACGTGAGGGAGCGTTCTGAGATGATCTTGCAAGATTTCTACCTACTCTAAAAATTCATGATTCTAAGGACCAAAATGTTTGAAAAATGACAGCACCTCAGATGACACACAATATATTGATTTCCTTCCTAAGAATCCTTTCTTAAGGTTTTGTTGTTTTTCTGATTTTTAAAATAACGCATGCTTATTACTGAAAATTTGGAGACTCAAGACATATCACCACCCAAAGAAGGTCCTTGATTACATTTCAGCGTACGTCCAAATTATTCAAGAACTTGATTGATATGAGTTAAAAGAAGGCATACCTGAATAAACACTGCTGCTAATTCTCTTGATCCTTCGTGAATATAGACCAAATTGAATACCAAATCTTGGCATTTATGCTCCCGGTAACAGTAAGCAGATTTTTCAATTGATTATGGCATATGAGCACTCTTGAAGGTCTTATTCCTCTAATTACCTACTAGTGGCTGCTCTGCATTTTGCCTTATTGAATAAAAATACACATCATTAATGTCTAGTCCCTGCTGCTGCATCCTGCATTGCAAAACTTCACCACAATACACATTTCATCTTGACATACTTTTGAAGGATCTTACACATACACACAGGAATGGTGAAGTATGGGTTGAACAGGACATATAGTTAATTTCGTGTTAATTCTACTCATTCATTCCTGCATTCGTCATTTATTTACGCATTTATTCAACAACCTTTTATTGAATTTCTATTATGCTCCAGGTGCTTACAGAGTAGTAGAGAAATAAATGTGAACAGCACACATGGGTTTTTTCCCTCTCATAGTTTGAAGTTTAATGGGAGGCTTGGAAAAAAATAAATGTCAGAGAAATACTTACAAACTGTGGTAAGTGTCATGAAAGGAGCAAACAGAGTGTTGTGACTTATAAAATTTAGACCACCCAAGGTTCTTCTCTGCTTCTACCCTTCCACAGCTCCCCATTGCCTACCTACGCAAGGCAGCCAGCAACTCAGCATGGCGTTCAAGGCTCTTCACAACATGGACCCTGCCTGATGCTACCACTCCCATTGCCCCCAACACTCAGGCACACACAAATATTCGCCGTTGCCTGGATGTGTATGTAATGCCAAGGGGTCAGATTTTTTACTTGCAAACAATAGAGTATCTTTGAGTGATTCCAAGGAAGGCGGTCCCATGAGGGCGCACAATGTGTGCTTTGAGTGGGAACCTTGCGGAGTGGAGTGTGCAGGAGGAGCTGGCCAGGTGGAGGCGTGAGACCTGTTAGGAAACATCGATAGGCCTTCAGCAAGAGGATGGCATTGCCTAAACGTCCGTGAGAGTGAAGATCTACTGGACAAGGACCCGATGCCTTCTCTTGGACATGGTCATGGATTGGCTGTGCAGGCGAGGTCATAGCAAGTGACTCCTATCCTCCTGGCCTTGAAGAGGTTGGTGAGCTGCCAGCTGCAGCAGTAAAAGTGGCAGTAAAGTGGTATTAAGTAGTTGCACTACTTAAGTCAATATATGGATTCTTCTAGAGGAAAGTCAGAAATAATTTCTTCCTCTGGGGCTCATCAGAGTCTTACTAGAGAACTACCCAGACTTCTTGCCGGTGGTGCTCTCACATCACAGGGCATGGCAAGAAAGGTGATGCCATAAGCCTCTAACCTGGGGTCTCACGAGGGTGGCCCGCAGGCTGAATTTGGCTTACAGAGCAATCAGCTGATTTATCTTGCACTGTTTTAAAACCGGGAATTTCCATACAGAATTTCTGATTTCCATCTTCTCTTTAAACATAAGATCTGGAGGTGCCTGGGTGGCTCAGTCTGTTGAGCGTCGGACTTTGGCTCAGGTCATGATCTCGTTGCTCGTGAGTTTAAGCCCCAGGTCTGGCTCTGTGCGGGCAGCTCGATGTCTGGAGCTTGCTTCAGATTCTGTGTCTCCTTCTCTCTATCTGCCCCTCTCCTGCTTGATCTTTTTCTCTCTCAAAAATAATAAAAATATTTTAAAAATTAAAAATAAGATCTGCTTGGGGCGCCTGGGTGGCTCAGTTGGTTAAGCGTCAGACTCTTGGTTTCTGCTAAGGGCACAATCTTGGGGTTTAGTGAGTTTCGAGCCCCGTCTTGGGCTCTGCACTGGCAGTGCAGAACCTGCTTGGGATTCTCTCTCTCTCTCTTCCTCTCTCTCTGCCCCTCCCCTGTTCACTCCATGTCTCTGTCTCTCTCAAAATAAATAAATAAACTTAAAAATAGAAATAAGTTCTGCTAACATTCTCACATGACAGCTGACTGGAGCTGAGGGGAGACTCTTTTTCCAAAGGCATTTATAGCCAGGCTAATGATGGGCCCCAGCACTCCCTCACAGCCATCTGAGCTGCAGGTTGATAATGCGCTAGTGACTGTAGAAGGACCCTTGTGTCATACATGCAACACCTTCTGGTCTGAGCCCCCGAGCACGCAGGTGAGGCTGTAAACACAGTCACCCTTCCCTGACTGTCAGGGAGGCTTGACTCTCCTCCACGTGCCTCACCAGGTGCCTGCCCCTGGGGTGTGCCAGGCCATGGCTGTCCCCCTTCCCCACGTCTACCCAGGCAGCACGTGCCCGTGCCTTTGTGACATTATCTGAACACTAACAATAACACTTCCAATAATATTAATAGGAAACAATCATGGAGCACTTCCCATGGTCCAGGCACTTTGTCAAGAGCATCAGATGGATACATGACTCCTTCAATGAATCTGAATGCAGACATCACTATTCCCATTTTATAGATGTGGAAACAGAGACACAGAGAAGCACTTTGTCCAAGGTTGCACCACAGGTGATTAGGAGAAAGAAGAATCCAGGTTAAATCCTTGGTGCCTACTGTTGAAGAAATTATTGACCAATAGCATATATATATGTTTATTTATTTTGAGAGAGAGTGAGCATGAGCAGGGAAGGGGCAGAGAGAGGGGGGGGGGAGAGAATCCCAAGGAGGCTCCACACTGTCAGGGCTGAGCTTGATACGGGGCTCGATTCCATGAATCGAGATCATGACCTGAGCTGAACTAAAGAGCCAGATGCCTAACCCAGAAACGATAAAAATCATTTCTACTTTATCTATTTCTTTGAAGTTTAATAATGCATATTTGGAATTATCTTCAAACAGTTACATCTATCTGGAATTGCTGCTTAATTCCCAACAGTGTGCCATACGCTTTCTTATCCTTCATCTTTGTGCACACGTTTCTTCTGCGTAGGTTGTGGTTCCCTCCTCCTCTTGCTCATACAAGAGTAGGTCTCCACCCTGGAAACTTCTGGTAGCACTTTGCATATGCCTTTTATAGGTGGCACGGCCACATATTCTGAGGTAGTCTTGATTTAAAATATTTGGTCCTACTGTTACGCGTTCTCAAAGCTCGTGCCCAGGCCCTGGACACCCGATTCAGAACACATGACCATGGTGTGTTTATAGTCCTTTCAGTTTCTATTGAGGGTTTTAAAAAAAAATTGCACACAAGTTTCCCTTAGGAGACAGTGAGGTCCTCAGAGCAGAAACTGCATCTTTCTCACATGCGTGTTCTGGCCCAGCTTGAATGATAGAGAGTATTGCACGGAGTGAGCACAGTCTGTCTCTTATCCATCTGGATCTTAGTTCTATGTCCTCTTTACTTAATAGCACATTCAGATCCCTCTCTCTCTCCCCGTCAAATCAGCTTGATTGAAATAATGGAAGCGCATTTGGAGGTATCAGAGGTTGATGACAGCTTTGTGTGGTATTTCCCTGGGCACTTACCTTTCAGCTGGCATGACAGGCCTCATCCAGAAGCATCCATATAGAAAAGGTCAGTGAACAGAATCCAGTGTATCTGAGGACAAAGTGCATATTAGAATGAATAACCATGGCGGGTTCAAAACAGTGGTTCTGGACCAGGGGTGATTTTCCTCCTTCTGACCCACTCAGGGCAATATCTGGAGACATTCTTGGTTGTTACACCTTGGGGAAGAGCCTCTATTAGCATCTAGTGGGTAGGGGCTAGGAATCCTACTAAATAGCCTACTGTTCACAGGACTGCTGCCACAACAGAATTTTCTAGCCCCCAAATGTCACTAGTACTAAGGTTGAGAAACAGAGGCTGACAGGTTGTTCTACATATCCCTAAACGCAATGGCTTCAAGCAACACACAGTTTTTCTCTCACAGCTCTGGAGGCCAGAAGTCCAAAATCGGTGCCACTGGGCTAAAATCAAGGTGTCAGCAGAGCAGGGTTCCTTATGCAGGTTCTAGGGGAGTACCCACCTCCTTGCCTTTTCCGGCTTCTAGAAACCACTCCCATTTTCTGACTCGTGGCTGCTGTCCTTCATCTTCAAAGCCAGCAATGGCAGCCCAGGCTCTCAGGTGCCAGGTGTCTGGTTCTCCCTCCTCGGCCTCCCTCTTTCACGTGAGAATTCTGTGATTATCTTGGATCTATCTGGATAAACCAGGATAATCTCAAGCCATCTAATTAGCAACCTTAGCTCCCTCAACAACTTTAATTCTCTGTCACCACTTAACCTAACATATTTGTAGGTTTGGGGAGTAAGATGTGGACATCTCTGGGGGCCATTATCCAGCCTACCACAGAGGACCCTTATCCTACAACCCAACCCTAAATCAAATGCATTTCCTGACTTTATCAAGATCAAGTTGCAAGTCATTTAGATATTTCCCAAATATCATAATATGATTTGAAAAGAATTAAGTGTGGACTGCTCAAGATCTGTAATTCTCTTCCAATTACAAGATTTTTAAAAAAATTTTAATGTTTTTTATTTATTTTTGAGAAAGAGAGAGGGACAGAGTACAAGCAGGGGAGGGGCAGAGAGAGAGGGAGACACAGAATCTGAAGCAGGTGCTTCAGACGTGGGGCTCAAACCCACGAACTGTGAGATCGTGACCTGAGCATGAGACACTTAACGTTGAGCCACCCCAGAGGCTCTCAGTTACAGTCACTTCTTCACCAAGGCCTGCCATCGGACCTCCAATGACATTATTTCCTGAGCTGTGGGACTCTGGGCTCAATCACACCGGCCTCTCTGTGTGGCTATCAGGCGAGGAGCTTATACACCGGGATTAATAGCCAGATGGAAATCCCTGTGCCTCTTCCTTAAGTGCCAGATTCAACCACTTCCACTACAGAGATAGGAGTCTGAGACCTCACTCCTCTTCCCAGAAAATGCAAGACAGCAGCCTAAATTTCTTGCCCAGTTATAGGCAGAATGAAGGTGGAAGAGAAGGAGCCCTGGCTGGGCCCGCACAGAGCTGGTGGCCCTGCCCAGGAGTGCCTGCTACGGGGGGGCTGGGTGGGCATGCCCGCCCGGGTTTCCTGGCCCGTGACCAATCAATGACCCTTTTCTGCTTCTTTGTACCAGTTGAGAAAATTCGGTAAGAAAAAATGGTTAACATGAGTTTAAGTAGCCTGTTGGAGAATGACACGTACCCGTAGGAGGCGCACTGGAATTTGGGGGCTTCCAGCACAAGGACTGGGTTTACCTAACGGTACAGAATGGCTGGTGGAGGGTACTGGTGTTGGAATTGGAAGGCTCTGTGCTCTGGTTCTGGCTCACCTCTGCCTGTGACGACTGCTTCATACAGCCTTCGGGGCCTGCTGCTGACCTGCCCCTGTGGCCCACGGTCTCTCCTTCTAGCCTCTTCAAGCGGGGCAGGTGCCTACAAAGTCATGTTCCCCATAGAAGATGCCCCTGTGGGTCCGTGGTATTCGTTTAGGGCCATGGTAGGAACCCGGCTGTAATCCAGGCCTCTTCCAGCATTTGCGAGTAAGGCCTTCGTGCCTGGCATGTCACAGAGACGACGGTGCTGTGGTGTCTTGTCGGCCTGTCACGTGCACCCAGAGAAATATTCTCCTTCGCAGCCAGCAATATGATTTATTTGAAAGAAAGTCTATAATGAGCATGTGCTTCAGATGAAAGAATCAGGAAGGTACTGCCAGAGCTCTTTTATGCTAATGCTCTGCAGGGAAGGAGCTTGGAAATTGCTTTTATTAAGGGACCAGGACACACAGAGTGGGGAAGTGGAGGCTGCGAGCAGCCAGAGGCCTCCTGTGTCTTCGCCTTCAACCTGCAAGCGTCTGGGACGCCGGCCGCGGTTGGCAGGGGCCCGTTGGCACAATGGTGGCCTTGCTGGCGCTGGCCCCGTGGGCTGTCTGGGCCGGAGAAGTGCTTTCTTTGAATCCTTGCGGTCCGCCTGAAATTGCTTTCCCTGGCTCCCTTTGCTCTATCTGGGTGTGAGTCGGGAAACAAGAGCAGGCCCCTGGTGTCCCCACAGTGACAGGGTAAGACTTGGTCATGCTTCAGTTCATAGGCTTGGCGACCAGCAGAATGGCTGAGCCTCACTGGCCCTAACAAATGCTGTGCCGTCAGCTGGGAAGAGGATTTCACAGGGCCCTGCGTGGACCCTGACCTTGCCACCTTTACCGATAACCTTGTTGGCAGTTCATAGCGCATTGTTCTAAGTGGGTAAATGACCCAGGAGCAGGAAGAGGAGCCTTGGGAGGTGCCAGTGCTGCCGTTTGCAGTGCATCTTGCCCCCTGACGTTTCCAGAGAAGTCCAGAGCTCCCTGTGTGCACTGATCAACCCTCCCTGCACTACACGGAAGTGCGCTCCTTTCCTATTATCTCTGTAACAAATTACATGAACTCAGTAACTTAAAACAACACACATCCACTCTTCTGCAGTTCTGGAAGTCAGAAGTCTACAAGCAAAGTGTCTGCAGGGCTGTGTTCATTCTCGAGGCTTTGGGGGGAATCGATTTGCTGTCTTTTCAGAGCCTGGCAGCGAGCTGTATTCCACTCCTCTGCAACTTCTTGCTCTGTTGTCACCTCTCCTCTTCCTCCTCCTGATTCTGAGCCACCTGTCTCCCTCTTAAAGGCCCCTGTGATCGCACTCAGCCCCCCAGGTTTTAGCATAATCTCTCTGTCGCGAGATCCTTCACTTTATCATATCGGCAGACCCCCTGTCAGCATGTAAGGTGCAGGATCCTGGGACCGGGAGGTTGACTCTGCCCCGCACAGGAGGACTGGCGTGGGTGTGGGGTGAGATGGGGACACCACAGGAACCCCCCCCCCCCCATCTAGCCCAGGGCGACAGCTCCAGTCCCGTGTCCGAGGGCAGCTCTGGCTCTGCCTGTGTGCCTAGGTCTATACCAGCCACTCCCCATGTTCTCTCTCCTGCACCCAAGGGTGCTCATCTTCCCCTGCTGCTAAGTGACTTTGCAGCCCCTTCTCTCTCTTCTTTTGCTTCATTGCTAGAAGGTTGAGCCATGCCAATCCCCGGTTCTGACCTTGGGTTCTCTTGTCCATGTTCTGCTTCTCCTCCTCGCAGCTCTCCTCGACTGAACATTTCTTCTAGAAATTTCGTCACGGCTCTACAAGTTGTAGGAAGTGGAGCACATTAGTATCATAACAGAAAGGCAGAAGTATGCCATATCTTGAAGCCGCAGGTAGAATTTCAGGGCAGCAGGTGCCAACAAGGATGAGGTCACAATGCTTCCTTCTGCCCAGTGGGCAGAGCACTGGACATGATGAGCAGGGGCAGAAAGGAAGTTCAATGTTCCTCACATTGGGACAACCCGAGGAACCAGAGAGGTTTGTCCCTACACCAGTGGGGATGCCTCAAGGAGCGGCCTGCCTGGAAGGACTTGAACATGAATGAGGAAGCCTGCGGGATGCCGACAAGGCCCCTGCTTAGGAAGTGCTGTCTCTGGGACAGTGGAGGCAGTCACTGCTTAGGGCACCTGGAGACCCCTCCCAGGAGGGCAGGCTGTGAGCCCGAGACAGCAGGTGAACCGACCGGAGGGGAGAGATCAGGATCCTGAGAGCCTGAGCTCAAGTTGGAGTTGAGGGCGGTGGCAGCCAGGACGGACGACTGAAAGGGCGATACACAAACACGCGCTGGCTTTGTTAGACACAAGCTGGATTAGTGAGCAGTCCGGGGGTCTAGAAATTGCCTGCTTTGGCAGAGGCTCCCTGTCTCATAGGACACAAAAGTACCTTGGCCCTCCCTAGAGCTGGCGGGACAGGGGTTCATCCTGTGGGAGAAGGACAGTTTCAGTGGCTTGGTGCATGTGTGCAGACGCACGGGGCACAGGAGTGAAAGCGGGGTGTCTCTAAGCGGTTTGGGAAAAGCGAGCAGCGAGGCCTCGGCCGGAGGAGCACGGAGGGCCAGTAGGGGACGTGTCTGCTTTGGAAGGTCTGCTGGGAGCACTCCAGCAAAGAAGTGGGGGAAAGGAGTCAGCCTGGAACTAGCCTTCGGCTGGCTCCTCTGTCCTTTGGGAGGCGACCTCCCACTCAAATTCCAAGGCGCCTACAGGGGTTTCCTCATGGTCCAGTCACTGTCCCTGTCCTTTCCTTAGTATCCTGCAGGGAAGAGGCAGTGGCCGCAGGGAGCCAGGCAGAGAAGAGCCAGGGGCCACCTGAGTGCTCAAACCTCTCCGTGCTCCTCTCGTCAGTGATGTCACAGCCAGAACCTGTTCCTCTCACCAGGGCAGGAGGAAGGCCCCGGCCACCCAGAGATCAGACACCGCAGGAACCAGCCTCACTGGGCCATGGTGGCCCTTGGTAATTTTTTATTTGCTCCTCTATCCTTTCTCAACACAACACTCCCTTTGTTAAAAAAAGAAAAGAAAAAATCCCGTGAGGAAAGCTCTGCCTCAGCTTCCTGTGCAAACTTCTCTCTCTCTCCTGTCTTTCCTCCTTCCTCCCTTCTCCCTTCCTTCCTTCCGTTCATCTATTTTGAAACTTAACTATAGATGGGGTGTTGGCTCTGAGGGAGTCTGTATTTCACTAATTTTTTTTTGCTTTGATCTTAATCTTTTAATCATATTTTCCCTAAATCCTGATTCTAGTTTTTTCCCCCTATTTTTGTCATTACTTCATTGAATGTGTCCTTGTCATCATGACCCAATTGTGTGTGTGTGTGTGTGTGTGTGTGTGTGTGCGCGCAGCACAGTGCTGTGCGCTGGGTCTAGAGCCCTTAAGCAGCTTTACTCATTAGGAACTGGTTAACTGATCTTGGACAAGCTAAATACCATCCCTGGATCTTCTTTTCCTCATCTGAAAAATGAGGTAATTACACTGCATATTGGTTTCTTTTAGCTCTAACTTCTTCCTTAACCAAATGGAAGCCCAGAGCTCGGAAGAACTCCATTCTCTGCAGAGGTGTGCACAACGGGCGTCACTGGACAGCCTGTCACCCCTGCAGTGATTAGTATAAATCAGGAAAACTACATCAGCTTTAAAGAGTTCTTCCCACTTGGTAATGGAATAAATCTTCTACCATCTGTATTATTTTCTTGAGGCTGCTGTAACAAGTTTCCCAAAACTTTGTAGCTTAAAACAGCAGACATTTATTCTGTCATCATCCTGGAGACCAGAAGTCTGAAGTCAGTATCAGTGGGTG